TAATATGGGAATAGACACAAACGCATGAGTTTGAGTTCTATATTGGAAGGGGGATTGATAATCCTTGCTGCTGAATTCGATGTGAGAAATAAGGCAAAGCAAGATGATGTGGAGGACATTTGAGCTTCTGGATTGATTAAGTTTGTGGATAGTGCCATTTCCTGAGCTATACCCAATATGTCTAGAGAAAGGAGTTAGTTTGGGATATGGGATTGAAGAGAAAACAATAAGTTCATGTTTAGGTTGACTTGGAATATGCAGGTACAGAGACGAGCTAAGCCACTAGCTGTAGATTTAGGGCACGTTCAGAGGAGAAATCCAGCTAGAGTTTCATATTAGGCAGGCGTTAACATGTAGTTGAAGTCCCTTTAAGAGAAAGTATGAGGAGGATAGTTCCAAGGACAACCAGGACACAATCAGTAAGGAAGGGAGACTTGTTCTCATGATATACATCATTCCCACTCTTCCCTCAAACGGGCTTCTCAACAATGCCTGTGAATCTCTCACATAAACTTCATGGGAAGAACATGAAGTACTCATCCCAACTTCTCCATTCTATCATAAACGGTACCTAAAGGGAGATGAGAATTGATTTTTTGTCCTAGGTACCAAGTGTGTTTTACAAAATTTGACTCATTTAAATGCTCATAGTACTCATACACAAGAGTGATTATAGCATCCAGACCTTTGACACTCAGAATAGCCAAGTCACTTGTCTAAGGAAGCAAAATGGCTGTGAGGAGACCTGACTCCATGTCCATGTGGCAGCACTCTCACTTCACCACCTCCTAGAATACAGCTGGATCCTTAGGGAGCCCCCCCCCTTCCATTTCCTGCTTTGTAAACATTGCTTGCATCCCTAGCTTAATGCTTTGGTCTCTATTAAGGGACAAGCCTCCCCCCTGGGAAAAGTAAATCTCCAAGTTGTCAATCATCCATGCCTCAGTGGGAATGATTTACAGATTCTTCGGGGAAAAAATTAATTTTGCAAGAGAAGACCACTGGAATCTGGAAGGAAGGATTTGAAAAAGCAGAAAGAGACCAGATGATGCAGGCAGAGTCCTCCATCAGTTTTTCCATCCCTCCTAGTGTCGGCTATGAGCTTTGAAGATTCTCAGGTGCTATTTATGCATGTGTCTACTACTTTAAAGACATCTCCGCTTATGGGTCTATTACCCAGTTGTATGGTTCTGATCAAAGAAAACCTTAACCTACATACTGACCCTAACTCATCATGGTCAGGAGGAGACAGCCAGCTTGGACTGTGGTTGTAGACCTGTAGTCCCTGGCCTTAGGCACAATGCCTAACCCAGTCCCTCGAGAATTAGGCTCCGCCATGCACATTAAAAATACTGAACAGATGGAGGCAGAAGAGCTTGTTGGAATGACTTGGAGGAGTCCCTTCTGCCCTTTGTGAGTCCATTTACCAAAACAAATGACATGTATCAGGGCATGGCATTGGTCCAAGCCTATTGAAATTCTGCTAGCTGTCCAAACAGTGATGGTGCTTCAGATTGATTCTGTGAAATGATCAGAATTAGGAAGAGAGAAATGATGAGTAGGCATCTGGCTACTGAAGCCTACTGATGCGGGGTGGACCTGGGGTGAGGAGGGGACAGCCTCAAAGACCCCCTAGGATACCTTCTGCTAGCAAGCAGCGAAAGGGTCCAGCACTGGAAGCAGACAGTCTGGTTTTAAGTCTCATGCCGTTCCTACTAGCTATGTGACCTAAACAAGTCCTTCCTCATCTCTCAGTCTACTCCACCCTGTATAAAACAAACCCTGGACTAAATGGTCTCCAAGGACCTTTCCTGCTTGAACATTCTGTGACTTCTCTCACAGTAGTTTTTGATTTCTTTTTCTCTGTGAGGGAAAGGCCCTCCCACCCACCTGTTTGTCCGTTGTCTCTATGTTCTCACACTGACCTCTGCTGGTCATTTGGAAAAGTGTCACTGATGGTGTCTGCAGGGGGAAAAAGACAAAACATAATGCAGTTCATTAGTGATTCAGTATTAAGCTTCAGCAGTGCACCAAAACTCTGTGCACGGGAGGTGAGAGAGAAAAATCCCAAGTAGCTATAAGCACAGACAAAGCATATGTAGAGATGGTTAACCAAACAACTCATGAAAACGTGTCGTCCTCCTTTTTAAATGGCTGCCTTTATTCGTTCATGGTACTGTGCCACTATGTGAAAGGACTTTACTGTTTATCTTTTCCTTGTCTCAAATCTTATGACAAAAGCTCCACAGGGGCTTGACACCATGATGAGAAGACGGTGCAAGATAAGCAGTGCCTCAGAAGCCCCCAGGCATCCCACTGGCTTCTGAGCGGGTCAGTCTTTGAGATTTTGTGCTCAACTGGCATACCCAGCCAGCCTAAACTATCTGAGACAAACCCCAGAATCTTGTTTTTCTGAGGAGTGCCTTTCCAAACACGCTTTGGGAAAAGGGATGGATTTTTTTAAAAAAACAAAAAGTTCATTAGTTCTTTGGGAGACTTATATTCGACTTCCTGGTAAATTTAGCATGCCCTCTGAGCCCACGGAAAGGAAGCAGGCTGTAAAACCAGGCTCTGCTAGACCAACTCAGAGTCCTATTAAATCCATCTTATCATTACCTCATGGCTGCATTTTCTTGCTTGCCCCTGATGGTGAGCTTGTGTTGAGTAAGGCAAAGGAGCAGAGGTGGACAGCACCAGTGAGACTGCTTGAGCTCACATAGTAGTATGAGCAGGATGGAAACCGGGCCACATGACAACCAGTTTTCTTGGTAGCTGTTCAGTGATTTATCATGCCCCCCCCCCCGCCATCCCTTGATACAAGAATCTTTTTGGCAGTGCTGACATTCGGGTCAAACATTCAGTAGTCTGAATAGATCCTTTCTGCTAGTAATAACATGGCCCCAACAAGCCCACCGTGCCGCTGTCCTCCCACCAAACAGTCTTCTCTTCCAACAGCTGGTTCTTATCTGCCTCCCTGTTCCAGCCTCTGGCAGGCCACCCCCACCTACTGCTGACACACACACACATGTTGTCGGTACTCCTTGATGACTTGCAGCCCTGAACACTACTTTCCTCCCAGCTGTTAATCCAGATTTGACCACATCACGTCTTCACTTTTCCTGCCTAGCTTTCCAAACCAATTCCAGCTGGAGTTCACTTGGCCGTCCCGAGTAGCCATGACACCCCCCCAGTCATGGGCCAGGTGCAGTGTTCCACAGACCTCCCTGGGTAGCCCTTCCTCTGCACCTGCAGCACTTATTCTCTGTTCCACACTTGTACTGTCAGGGTAGAATATATATTCATCTTGAAATCTAGGTCAATTTTCCACTTCTTCACTCATCCTTAACAGCCTCCAGCATAATGTCTTTAAGGTGTTGCTCTTTTTTCTCTTCAGTTTATAGACATATACAGAGTCATAGACAGCCATAGCCACAGCCACACATGCACACACACACACACACACACACACACACACACACACACGTAAAGGGAGGGAGAGAGAGACAGAGACAGAGAGATTATACAAATTACAGTTGCTAACAAGAGAATCATTCTAAACAAAATTCTATCAGTGGTACTTGAGAGATTAAAAGGTGAACATTAAATTCCCTACCCCCATCACTCCCAGAAGCTTAAGAAATAATCCATAGGCTTTGGGAAAGTTTGAGTGGTAGGCAGTGCTCTAGAGAGTTGCCATCTTGTTGGTCAGAATATCTTCTACTTCTTTACAAGAGTTCTAGGTCTTCAGGGGCCTGATTGACAGTAAAAATTATACTCCAAAGGACTAGCACAGCTGGTGGCCACTTGCATCTCCAGTACATAACTCTAGCCACTGAGTTTAAGGCATCTGTTCTGTTTTCGCCCTTTTAACAAGTAAGTTTTGACGCTGAATAGGAAAGGGCATGTTTAATGGGCTTTGGGGTTTGTTTTTTTTTTTTTTTTACAGATTTGTAGGAAATTATGGACAGTCAATAAAGGGTCCAAGAGGTGGGGATGGGAAGCATTTATGAAAATAGGCTTTTTACCTGATACAGTGTTGTGTTCTCAGAGAGGAAATGCACATTACTAATGGTTTTCATTTTTAGACAAAAAAAATAAAGTCCCTACTGGGATTTGTTCTAAATGAGAGTTCAGCCTGCCTGTTGCACCACTGGGGTTAATTCTCAGTCTCAATCTGCTTTAAAAATGTCAGCCTGAACTCTCAGACTTAATTGTTACAGGCATTTTATAACCAGGACATTCAAAATCCTCAGACTGCTCCCTCTTGCTACCATAATTGATTCTTAATAGATATTCTCAGGCTCTTTATACTTTACATTTTGGATGCTGTGCAAATATGGAGAATGGAGAAAAGGGGAATAGAAAGGAAGAGTTGTGTGTGTTTCTCTCTCTCTCTCTCTCTCTCTCTCTCTCTCTCTCTCTCTCTGTGCATTTTTGTATGTTCCCTGTGAATATCTGTAGTAGGTACAATGATGGGATACCTGGATCAGCCGACAAAGATGAATTCTGACAGATCGGTCAGAGTCTGGGGTCACCCTTCTTTGGCCTCCTGGAGCAACATTCTTTAGGTGTAGCCATTTCGGAACTTCAGTGCAAGCATATGGCTGGTCATTTGGATGTGAGTTATAAAATGTCATGATGCTCTCCAGTGTTCTGTTCTTTCACTATTTTGACAATCTGATGGATAACCTGGCATTAACTAGGAAGAGGACAATATTATCCAGCCTGAATAACTAATCTCCTAAGAAGTACAAAGTTGAAGGATCTTGATGCACATGAATCTTATAAAATGTGCTTATAAAATGTGTTCTATCCAAATAAGCTCAGTGGCCCCTAAAATAGCCTTTTCTGATCCATGTCTGGAACTTTGGCATACCTCACAAACCTCTAAGCCAAAATTATTTAATGAAGTAATGACTGTTCTTTGTGCATGAAAAAATAGGAAATGTTGATGTTCAACCTTCTGTTGACTAATTTTCCATCTTTATGTCCATTTTTAGGGACGCCCTGGACCAACTGGCATTCAAGGTCCAGCAGGTCCTGAAGGACTTGCTGGTCCTACTGGTTTATCGGGGTTGAAAGGAGAAAGAGGCTCCCCAGGCCTTCTGGGACCATATGGACTAAAAGGAGATAAAGTAAGATTCACCTTTGACGCAAGGGCTATAAGTACAAATGTCAAGTATTGTCAGTTTCAGTTCTAATTTATGGGAATAATACTGTTCCTAAATATTTTGGTGCCAGGATACATATTTTAAGAGACGATGAATGCAAATATAATGATGCATGCTTTTAATCACAGCACTCAGATGGCAAAAGGCAGGTACATCTCTCTGAGTTCAAGGCCAGGCTGGTCTATACAGTGAGTTCCAGGCCAGCCAGGGCTACCTAGTGAGACTCTCAGAAAAAAAAGAAGAGCTAGCCAAAGTACATTTAGTACTTGTATGAAAATGTCTTTATGAAACACAGCACTATGTAATGAATATACATCAATAAAAATAAACTATGAAGAAAAAAAGAAAGAGCCAAGCCAGGCATGGTGATGCATACCTGTAATCCCAACACGCAGGAGGAGAGGAAGGAAGATTGCTACAAATTCAAGGCCAGCGTGGTCTGCAAAGTGTCAGGCCAGCCGGGATACATATAAAAGGAAAAAAAAAAAAGCCAAAGATTGAGTGAGTGATGGGCCGATGATGGATCAGACCATTTTTAGAGACTCTCATAGCAAGCAAATTATAAAATGAATGCACTGGCTACTTACATGACAAGAGGGATCACTTGTGTCAAGTCATGTGGGTTTGAACTTGGCATGGATCAGAAGTCCAGTAGACATTAAGAATACCACAAAAGGGGCTGGAGAGATGGCTCAGTGGTTAAGAACACTGACTGTTCTTGCAGAAGACCCGGGCTCGAATCCCAGCACCCACATGGCAACTAACAACTGTCCGTAACTCCAGTTCCAGGGGATCCGACAGCCTCTTCTGTCCTCCACGGGCATTGCATGACACATGTACACTTATCTACATGCAGGCCATACATGCATACACATAAAATAAAAAATAAGAATACCACAAAAGAGACTAGCAAGCAAGAACTCAAAAGACTTAGAAGCAATCTGTGTTGCAAATGTAGGGAATGGACTTCAGGGAAGGAGAATGGTAATATCATGGTGAGTAGCCTACTAAGTTTAACAACTCAATTTATACTCCCTATGTATTTCCATCACCTCCCATTCATCTCATTTTCTGAGAAAGTTTTATCATGCTAACATTATGAGAATATAACACTTATCAATTGGATTAATTGCAATTTATTATTCATATATACTCATCTCGTAGGGAGGAATACATTGCACAGTATGTGAGGCCACACAGGGTTAAACTCAGGAACAGAGTGAACCAAAAGGCTGTAGACATCAGGCTTTCTAGAATCAAGAGGTTGTGCTGCCCTGGCTCCCAAAGAAGGGTGTGATTTAGTTTGTTTGGATAATTCTGTAGTATAGAATGCACTGAAACTGTCATCCAAGGATAAGCAAGAACTGCACCTGCTCCCTTTGATTTAAAAAAATGTTGTTTGGCTAAGAGCCCTTACCTGAAGGAGCACAATGGGGAGGATATTTCTGGTTAGGCTACTCAAAGGCCTCCTGGTTTTGTCCAGATGTCAAGGTCACCTGTAATATTGAGCGTTCATTTTAGGACTTATACTATACTGCTAAAGATAAGAACTGGTTTTAGAACACAAACATGTCCAAGACCTTAGAGTGATCCCTTAGACTCAGGATAGAGAACATGGCAACACAGAATGAGGAAGAGGATAAAAACACTAACAACTAAGTTCATCAAATCACATCAGCAAACCTGCTGCACCTAATAGGCATTGATTGGATTAACTCACACATTCTTCTCCCTTCTTCTTTCTCTAGGGTCCCATGGGAGTTCCTGGCTTTCTTGGCATCAATGGGATTCTGGTGAGTGTGTCCGTAGAAGCAATTTTATCATCACCCCCTTGGTTCTGCCTCCTAGCCCACATATTACGATCTTAGAGACATTTTCTTCTCCTGTAAGCCTGCTCAGGGCTAAGCACTGAGACATGTGTGATGAGGAATAAAGGGCAGGAGTCACACACACATTCAGCCTTGGACTCAGGTTCAGGCAGCCTTTAGGCAGATGGTTGATATCTTAACCCAAGTAAATTAGTGTTGGGGATTGAGAGGAGCTTTGACTGGACATAGAGGACTGATTCTTCGTTGCAGAGGCAGAGGCACATTAAAGCACACATGTACTCGTTATATGAAAATTAATGAAGTACACTGAAATTAATAGAAAAATCCTTAATGATATCTTGATACATTTTATTTCAGTAATTTGATATCTTTAGACTTATTTCACTTTAGAGGGAATTTCCCTTTAAGTTTTACTTTGCCAGAGATAGTGAGGTTGAAGCTTGTGAACAGATTCCTTCTCCATTCCATCCCTCCTAACTCCTTAGTTTTCCGATTTTTGTCCTATATTCCCACTTAACTCACTGTTAGGGATTCCGTGGTGACATTTCATCAACCTTTGCATATAACACTTGGAACTTAACTATCACTGTTTGGCTTTCTCCTTACCACCTTCTTCTATATTTAATGCCTAGCCTGGGCCATCCTTCTCTATAGCAATGGTTTTCAATCTTGCTTAAGAGACCAGCGTCTGTGTGGAAGCTTAGACTACAGAAAAAAAGCATACCTCTTCCACCTGTGGTAGGGCTTGAGCCTGTCTTCATCCTTCTAACAACTTCTAAGGGATTCTTCTGGGCCTTATCAAAGCACTGTTAGGGAAACTCTAGCTCACTACTGTCTTGTGTTAGGCTTCATGATCTTCTGGTAATCAGTAAAGGTGGTTCAAATCTCTTTGTGCCAATTTATAGGCAATTTCTTGTGCATGTACTATGTGCTAGTACTCTACTATGGGATATACAGGAAGGAGAAAGTTTCACCTTCATAGATATTATATGACCCAGTTTCTCTCAGGTTCTAGTAGATATTTTGTAGATCTTGAGGATATAAGAATATATTTCTTATATTTATCACATCGCCCAAAAGACTTCTACATTTTTTTATATTTTATTTATTATTTTGACTTTATGTATATGAGTGTATTGCCTGCATGTATGTGAGTACACCCATGTTGTGCAATGCCGCGAGGTCCGAAGAGGGCTTCAGATTCCCCTGGAACTGGAGTTAAGGACGGTTTGTAGCCACCATGTGGGTGCTGGGAATCGAACCCAGGTCCTTTGCAAGAGCAGTCAGTGCTCTTAACTGCTGAGCCATCTCTCCAGCCCCAGATTTCTACATTAAAAAATATTTTATTTATTTTTATTTTATGTGTATGAGTGTTTTGACTGCATATATGTAAGTGCACCCATGATGTGCATTGCCTGCAGCGGCCAGAAGATGGAGTCTGATCCCCTGGACCTGGAGCTAAGGACAGTTGTTAACTGCCGTGGGGATACTGAGACCTGAACCCAGGACCTCTTGGAGAGCAGTCAGTATTCTTAACCACTGAGTCATCTCTCCAAGCCCATAGATTTCTGCATTTTATTCAACTGCAGTGTCTAAAAAAATGCTCAGAAATAAGCCAGTTGGATAATTAAGTGGACAAGGATAATCAACTTTTTTTTAAAAGTCCACTGACATTTTCTGATGACTGTATTCCCATGGTTACATAGGCCAGAATCCCAAGTGCATCTTCTAGAATCAGGACAGCCAGGCGTGGTGGCGCACAGCTTTAATCCCAGCACTTGGGATGCAGGGGCAGATGGATCTTGGTGAGTTTGAGGCCAGCAGGGGTTACAGGGAGACCCTGTCTTAAAAAGACAAAAAATAAAGAATCAATACATGTGTGTACCAACTGTTAAACTGGAGGTAGCCTTGGCCATTCATTCTGCAGACCTGGCTTGGCCAGAGATGCATAGGTGAGTGGAGCTTGCAGTGTTACTGTACCCTTCCCCCTACACTCACTTTGTTTTTGTTGAGTTTTGTTGTTTTATTTTGAAAGAGGATTTCATTATGTATCCCTGGCTGTCCTGGAACTCACTATGTAGACCAGGCTTGCCTCAAACTCACAGAGATCCACCTGCCTCTGCCTCTAGAGTGCTGGAATTAAAGATGAACACCACTACACCTGCCTTACACTAACTTTTGAATGGGAGCTGCAAGCCAGTAAGTCTTGTGAGGCTGAACTGCCCCTGGCCCCCACGTCTAGCTAGACACTTCTACCTCCAACTTGTAGTCAAGGTAGGTATTGGTCACTTCTCTTTGGGGCTTCATTGCTTCGGAATAAGAGTTCCAGCTGTCCAGAATCCTCCAAATGATCTGTCTACTCCCAAAAGACACCCCTACATCCTTCTCCTTCCCTTGACCAAAGGTTGTCTGTTTCATTTGACTTTTGATTTCCCTAGTTTCAGATTCTCCAGGTATCCAAGAAGTATCAATTGAGCACCTCTGTTTCAGTACTTACCTCTTCCTTCTATCTTGAAGCTCTCAGGAGTCTTTGGTGTCTGGCTTACTACTCTAGCTCCTTGATGTATATGGTTCCATGATATTATCTTGTGTGACAGTCCCATCTTGCTCCTTAAAAGCATAGATGATGTCTTTTGTTCCTTGCAGAGGCCCAAGAGTCCCAGGAAACCTAAAATGTCTAAAGGACTGATTCTACCCTTAGGACCTAGAAAAGCCACAGCTCTCAGACAGGCTGCCTCAAACAGAAAAACACCAACAACACAGGCTCTGCCCAACTAATCAATTTGTCCAATTTTTTTGCAACGCACATTTAAGTAGTTAGACTGAAACCAACAGCTTTTCTATCACATTCTGCTAAACTAGATCACTTCACAGATCTGGCTCCTCTCTGAAAAATGGCTGATCATTAACATATGTGTCACTGGTTTGGATCCCAAAACTTCATTTTTGCTACTATGTAGACAGTTTCAACAGGAGTGAGCAAGTACTCAATTTCATATTAATTCAACTCATTGCACCACATGGCACAGCATCCTGTGCCTATGCATTAGAATAGTCAATATTAGAGTAACAGAGACTAGAGATGGTAGAGCTCAAGGCAGTGAGTGATATATCAGTTGTGAGATGGGGCTGTTAGCATCTACCACATATGTATATTTATGGAATATTTTCAGTTAAAATGAGTTGAGAGCAGAGGATTCAAGATGTCCTTGGAAATTATGTTTAACTTTTTGCAGGGACTCAGTCTCAAACACGTCCCTGCCTAGAGGCTTGTAAATAAGCACAGTAGATTTATATCCATAAAGTAACACATAGCACTCACCACACGGAAACTTGTCCTTGGAACTGGGTTTCTGGGAACACTGCCTTTCTGGATCACAGCAGATCCTCCTAGTCTGTCTGCTTATTTCCTAGTGGATATATAGAACTATGATCTCTCCCCCAAAGAGCTATGCCCTTGGAAAGCTGAAGCACACATATGTAAAAATCATTCACTGTAGCCAAGAAGGGCAAAGTTCCAGAAATTCTGTGGTACTGATCATTGAGAAGATGTAGAACACCACCCTATAGCTTATCTGTGTTGACTTCCCAGGAAGAAGAGTTACCATTTACTGAGTCCCTACTTAGTAATGGTTCTACTCTCACTTGATTTGAATTATAACACAATTTTTAAAAATTTTTATTGAGCTTTTGTAACTTCATATACCAGTTCTTAATCAAATTTAGATCCCCTCACCCATCCATGCCCCACCCCGATTCCTCCACTGGACCTCATGTGTTCCACCATGCATGTTAAGTTCTATCCAGTCAAGCATTTATACCCAGTTTTCCTTTAGTGGAAATTCATCCACTGGAGTCTGGTCAGCCCATCTAGACATTGTATGTAAGGCATACTCTCACATAACACAATTTTTAAGTGTTGACAACTCTCTATAAATTGTATGTTATTCATCATCATTTTACTAATGAAGGAACTGAATGCTCCAATTGGAAATTAGCAAAGCTGAGTTAGAACAAAGTCTGACTGGTTCAAATTTTGGACTTCCCATTGTACCAGAAGAATGAGAGAACTGATCCATCTAAGTTAGAGGTCAGAGATTGATTCCAGAAAACTCCACTATGGTGGAGAAAAGTAAACAGGCATTCTTACAGGTGGGAGGTATTAGGAGTTTATATGAGAAAACTAGAGAAGAAAAGCATGTGGATACTAAAGTGTAACATGGTGGTATATGCCTTTAATCCAGCATTTGGGGGACAGAGGCAAGGGTATCTCTGGTGGGGGCTAGCCTGGTCTACATAGTGAGTTCCTAGACAGCTGGAGCTATAGGGAGACCCTGACTTGGAAAAAAAAGAATCTAGATAAAACTTTTGGTGTCCCACGAGTCAAGAGGAGCTTTGGTACTGAGCTAGCCCAGCCTTAGGGAATTGGGGACTAAACCCAAAAAGCTTAACTGAGTAGAGTTGAATAGAGCATATTTAGAGGATGTGGTAGGATTAAGGGAAACAATAATGGATGATGTAGCAACTGACTCAAGAGTTGTTAATACTGGGATCCAGTGGAGCTATGGAATAACTGTTGCCAAACAGGATCTAAGACTTTAGGGAAATGTGACTATTTCTAGAAGCACAGCCAGGGAGGGAGAACATGGAGGAATTAAAGCATTTGTCCTTTTTGTCCCTCTTCCTAGCTTCCTCTCCAAATTATGTTTCCAAATGCCCATATACAACTAGGAGACAGAAGGAAAGGGAGCCTATAGGGTACAATGCCACCAAAAACAGAAGTCTGGAGATCTCAGGGGAGATGAGAATAACTATCCTAGTTGGTAATAAAGAGTTGAGAACTCTAGTATGCTGCCCGTTTCCCCAGCACAGCCGAAATCATTACCCGACTGGTCTGAACTAATGCATTTGTATTTGCATTCTGTCTACCTCCTACAATTCTAAATAACAATGAAAATGAAATTGAATTTTGGCTAGCATTTTATTTATAAGAATATAGTAAAAGATTATTTCCTCTAACATAGTAGTCCTCCTTATTCATGAAAGATATATGCTAAGACTCCCCACAGTGGATGCCCGAAAATGTGGATATCACCAACCTTATAAGTACATGCCTTTCCCATCTTATTAAGCACTTAACACACACTATGGCAATAGCTTTTACAGTTTGAGGTTGGACCTTAAAATTAGCACAAATTTCCTTTTCCTGCTTCACACTTTAATAGCTAGATTTTGTCTTACATTAAATCATACTAATCTCAACACATGAGTTTTTTTCCTTATGTATTAAATTGAGAACTTTCATCTTTTCACTTAAAGAGCTATTTTCCTTCTCTTTGTCATGACCAAACTGCCAGGATCTCTACCCTTGTGCTTTGTGGCCCTTATTAAGTAAAATAGACATTACATGAACACAAGCACTGTGATACCACTGCAAAATTGATCTGATAACCAAAGTAGCTACTAAATGACTAATAGGCTAGAGAATGTAATATAAATATTCATAGATATGCTGGAAAGGGGGATGGTTTATATCACAGGTGGGATGGAATGGGTTGACACGAAGTTTCATTATACTACTCAGAACTATGTGAAATTCATGAATTGTTTGTTTCCATGGATAAGGAGAAACTACAAAGTTTCATTTCTAATACATGACAAGTTTCCATCAAATCATTAAGTGTACATTTCACTTTTTAAAATTTGTTTCTATTGAATTTTTGTGTATTTTATACAGAATATCTCAAACAATCTTAATCATCTTTAAACCCCATCCCCACTGGCACCTCCCATACCTCCCCCCACACACTGGAACCCATATACCTCTTCAGCCATATTAAAGCCCAGTGTGTCAAGTCAGTGTCCCCAGGTGTTCCCCATTGAAGTCCATTTATGGAGGTCTAATCAGCTTATTTAGAGTCTCTTGTTTTAGGAAGATCAGCTCTTCCTCACCTACTAATAATCAGTTGCCAGTGTTTTTCAGATAAGATTGGGGTCTCCTGTTCATTTCCTCAGTTCTATGCTGGTTTTTTGTCTACTTGAGTTTACGAATCTTGATCATCTTTATACCCTCATCTCCACTGGCACACTTTCACGCCCCACCCCCGCCACTGGACTCGATATACTCTGTCATTCGTATTAAGGCCCAATGTGTCAAGTCCGTGTCCCCAGACATTCCTCTGTGCAGTTTCATCTGCTGAGGTCTAGTCAGCCTATCTAGAGTCTCTTGTTTTAGGAAGATCAGCTCTTCCTCACCCAGTAGCAATCAGCTGCCAATGTTTCCTCAGCTAAGAATGGGGTCTACTGTTCATTTCCCCAGTTCTATGCTGGGTTTTTGTCTGCCTGAGTTTGCATGGGACTTTTGTATGCTGACGCCATTGTTATAGAATCATATGAGCAGGGTCACAGGAGCTTGTAGGACTCTGTTTCCACATTTCACTTTTAAAACTATTTAAGAGGAAGTAGGAATCTACCTTTCATTGGCCTGTCCAGATGATCTACAAAGGTCATCTGTTTGCACCACCCAAAATATAACTGGCATTTAGTAGATTAAAAGCATTATATTTTCCACAGGGGAACTCTGTGTCCAGTTCTGAAAAATGATTGAATTCCAATGAGCTATATGAGAATGCTTATTAATTCCCCAGTAAAACAACTGCCTCGATGGTAAATATGAGAAGAGGATATAGTTCAGTTCCCTAACTGAAGCAATAACCTGATGTAATTGGGACAAACTGAGATTGCAAGTGAGGTTCTTACAAGACTTGCTTATTTAGGACTAAGTCCAAAGTCTACCTTTCACTAGAGAAGATGCTGTGGGAACTTCTGCTCTGATAACCAAGATCCACCATCCATTCCCATGCAAAGATTCCAATTCAGAAAGTTAGCTCAGGATCTGTCCAGCCTGAGGACTCTCAAAACTTGGCATGGTTCCCTGTTGGTAGCAGTTCCATTGCCAGACAAGGAAACTCCATTTTGGTACATTTTTATACTCAGGAAAAGTAAAGTTGTAGCACCTTATGTTTCAAATCTGTCTGCCCTTGATCTCTTTAGTTTCAGCTTGGATCCTACTAAGCATCAGTCTTTTTGAGAATGATAACATTAAGTGGTGATTAGCAACATACATCTGAATATAAAGGAAAGGTTTGAGGGCATATGTGATAAGGTAATGGACAAGGAGTCAGAGCTTAGCAGGTACTTGGCTTTTCTCACTGTGGAACTTTTCAGATTAGCCAGAAGTCCTGTGATTGACTTGGTTCCTTCTTTTCTCTTTGAACAGGGCCACCCTGGACAGCCAGGCCCCAGAGGTTTACCAGGCCTAGACGGCTGTAATGGAACTCAAGGAGATGTTGGATTTCCAGGCCCTGTTGGCTATCCTGGGATTTTAGGACCACCTGTATGTTGCCAATTTTTTGCACTTTAGTTCAAATGTGCCTCCAAATGTGCATTTTTTCTGTTTCTCTGGCAATCTCATTAAGTTTTAGTGGATGGCCATGGTACCACCTTGTCCAATGCAGAAGTCTGTACTGATGGCACCACCCAGTGAAAATCTAAGAAATGCCAATTGCAGAATGTAGATGCTACATGACTTTAGGTTACTTTTTTGCTTGTTCGTTTTAGGTCTTTTTGAGACAGGGTCTCCCTGCAGCCCCAGCTGGCCTGGAACTCACTATGCAGACCAGACTGGCCTCAGTCTTACAGCGATCCATCTGCCTCTGCCTCCTGAGTGCTGGGATTAAAGTCACATACCACCAGGCCTGATTTATTCAGGTTACTTTTTAATGCTATTTTTTGAATTGTCAAGAGTGTTGAAATGAGATTGTTTAAGTAAATGAATATATAAGTAAATAAATAAATAATAGCTATAGTGCATTTCAGAGCAAGATGCACAGTTGGGCTATTTGGCATGTTCCTATTCCAGATAACATTAGGAAATGCTTGGAAGACTAACATGTGATCACAGGAGCACATACAAGCACCCAAAGACTTGGCAAGCTTGGTTTATCAATACATCTTAACCAGGTGTATTTTGTCCCTCGGGGGCATTTGAATTCTTATTGATAATTTTGGATGTCACAGCTGGGGATATCTTAATAGTACAGGATTATATACCCCCTGCCACATCAAGGACTCATTTTTTCCAGTGTCAGTGCTAATGAAGTTAAGAAACACTGCACTCATTTTGTCCCTTACTCCCACCCCACATCATCACCCTTGCTTATAGGGTCGATACACTACTTATTGGTCCCCAATGTCACCACTCTTTAAATTTCATCCATCCAGATAGAGCTAAGATATTCGGACCTAAAGGATCTTCAGTAGCTATCATGCCCTTTCAAGGCTGAATATGAGTGACTGGAATAACCTAAATTGATGCATTTTTAACTAGATTTCAGAGTTATATGAGTTGTCTTAAGTAACCAGGTTGTGGGTTATGATGAATATATGTATATATGTGTGAAAGAAAAAGACAAGCAAAGTACAAGCCCCATATTGGCATAAAGGACCCTGACATCTAAGTTCCAAACCAGTACACAGTGGTGGACTGGGGGAGGAGGTAACAGAAAAAAAGTAAAGTTCCAATGTGGAATAATCTGTGACAGTCATAAAGCTCCCTCAACACTGCCATGGCAACAGGACAGAGGAATAGAATAGAGAATAGAAGTCCAGTGAAGCAGGAATTCAACCTCAAGGAGGAGAATAGAGATCTTGAGGTAATAGACATCCTTTGAATGACAGAGCACAAGAGTGGAAAACTAATCCTGGCCTGAAACTTCACCTTAAGCTTAAACGGAAACTTGGGTATGTATTTTACTAAACTGAACCTTACCCCCCTGCTGAATATCCATTCAGTAACCATCTTTGAAGCTTCTTTGAAAAGAATAGGGATCAAAAGAATAAGGTGAAGCAGGCAGTGTTAAGAAACTAACTGATTTATATTTCTGGACCCCCGCTGTTTTAATGTCCCTGAGCTTGAGGAATTCATCAATCTACAATGAAGTCCCCAATGTTTACCTGCAGTATTAATCCTGACTTCCTCTTACATGTAAGAACTTTGGTTTCTTTTTTCCGAATGGGGCCAAATGGTAGCAGATACTAGCTAGCATCTGCTACTGAGACAATGAAAAATCTGGCTGAAAGACTAGAACTGTTTTCCATGTCAACGATGAGACACATCAGCCTCTTCGTAAGGTTGAAAGTGAACTTGCATGGTAGAAACAAAGGGTGAAGTTGCTTTTGTAGTACTTTTAGACCGAAGGCGCGTAAATCAGTGCACAAAGACACTTGGCCTGTAGCTCTTTTACATTTTAAAGAAAGAATAAGAAAGATATGGGACAAATCCCAGATGTCACCCACAAAGCTTAAATGTTTGCTATCTGGATCCTTCGAAAAAATTGTTGACCTTGGACCTAGACAAAAGCCCTATCAGTAGTTTATACCTATAAGGGGTAGAGCTTAAAATTATATGGGTTTGCTCAAACCAGAGTTCTTAATACATATAGAATCTTCCGTTTTCTAATTTCCATTCCTTCACAGACCTGTGACATGGAGACTGAGGGATGGTGTCCAACTCTGAGACATAACACCTGTTCAGAATATGGGCTTCACTTTTTAACACAGCAAATTTTACCGTAGCATAAGAAATATAATTTGAGCTTCTCATTGCTCCAGCCTATATCTGCTCAGCTCATACTGTTACCAAAATTCTGAGTGTGTGTGGGGGGGGTGCGATTCTTCACAAGTTTCTCTCATTTTACTCAGGGGCTGCCTGGTCGGAAAGGTTCAAAAGGGGAACCTGCTCCTTTTCAAGGTAGCATCACAGGAATGAAGGTAAGATCCTGTAAAGCAGGCAGCAGAGGAAGTGGTAGGCTACATCCCTGTCCTGCCCTGACTTGGCCCCACCTCCTACCCAAACATTTCCAGAATTAGCATCTGTTTAAGGAACTGACCTAGCTAGATTTAAAAGGATCCAGTGTTTTTGTGGTGGAAATATTAGCAGAAATGTTTGCAGCTATGCTGTCAGGCAGATTTGCTTTTCGGAATCTACACCAAAAAACAAGAAACAGATCAACGAACAGTTTGCATGGTTATCATTTTCTTTGACAAGCCAAAACATTTCCTAGAGGCAGACTTTTTTATTTCCTTTAAAGTCCTTAATGTCTGCATACCTTGATTTAAGTCCATATATATCTTTGTACATCTTAGTATGGCCACGAGCCCAGCATCCTGGCCCCACCCTTTTCTAGACCCCTGGATATCTGCAAAAACTTGTCCATCAGCTCTGTAACTGATTGAAAACTTTCAGCTCTTGTCAAGAATCTTTTTGTGACTTTACTTTTGGTGTACAATGCCTGGTAGCCTTGTGGGGCTTAATAAACCCTAGTTCCAGATGACTGACCCTGTTACTTTGCAGACTGGAAAAGGGGCCAATCATTGTACTAGTAAGCTAATGGGAATCTATGTGCCCAGCGTTGGAGGGGAAAATACATGAAGCTAAATGATGATAATTTTCTATCTTCCATCAGTGCACAGAGTCAGAGACTTTGCAGACTGGCTCTAAAAGCCATTATGGGGGTGGGTAGCTGGATGACTGGGGAAGATTCAAGGTTTCAACGATTGACTATGAGTGCCATACTAGAAGATAGAATATTAAAGTTGGAAGGGCCTCATGATTATTGGACTCATACTGCTCATTTTACAGGTAGAAACTATAAAGTACACTTAGGCTATTTGACTCACTCTGAGTCACATAGCCAGTTCTCTGAAGAGCTAAACCTCAGGCAGTGTTCTTTCCATGCTACAGAGAGCCGGGTTTTTTTTGTTTTGTTTTTTTTTTTTTAAACTGTAAACCAAGTGGGGCAAGACCAGCAGGTGTCAAAATACAGCCTTTGTCTTAGCAAACATTGATTAAATGGTTTTGCCAAAAATCAAAGAAACCCTGGATCCAATGGAACACAGCAATTTCCACAAGATGGTTATATTACAGATTCATACAGTGGCTTAAGATGCTGCAAAGTAATTAAAATGTAATCAGAGACTGTATGCTCTGTTGATTTTCCCTTGAAATGTCTGATTTGCATTGTATACATATGGGCACAGATTCTCTGGGGATGAAGGCACACGGGAAGGTAGCTTTGCTTTCTTCCAAAAAAACATAAAATCACCAGCCTGCAGAAGCAGTTTCTAATTGATAAGTTCCTACCAAAGGTGAAAATTAATTAATCTAAGTAAAATAGGAAATCTCGTTCAGCCAAGGCTATAATATTTACTTTCTAGAGTCCAGAATTTTTACAGGGAAATAGTAAATGGTTAGATATAGTCAACTCATGCATTATTTAAAACACAAGACCTTTATTTAAAACATAAGTCCAGGTTTCTGCAATGTGTTTTTTAAATATTTTATTTATTATTTTTATTTTATGTGTATGAGTGTATTGCAGTACCTGCAGAGGTCAGTGGGCATTGGATCCCCTGGAAATGGAGTTAGGACAGTTGTTAGCAGCCATGTGGGTGCTGAGACTCAAACCAAGGTCCTCTGCAAGAACAACCAGTTCTTTTAACCACTGAGCCATCTCTCCAGCCCCACCACAATGTATTTTTATTCCTATGCATCTTATGTTAATTTTCTGAGATACTTTGGGCTTAATTTTTAATCTCTTCTCTCTGTCTTTGTTTCTCAGGGGGATCCTGGGCTGCCTGGACTAGATGGAATCTCTGTAAGTTGTGATTTTTGTGTTGACCTCTCAATGCTTAGTAGAGTCACAATTTTTTTTTCATTCTTTTTGGTGGTATTCAAAGGTCTTCATAGGCTTTCTCAAGGAAAAGCTAGAGTGTTGAGGTAGAACAAGTTATGCTATCCACATTTTCCAGATAGAATATCCTAAGAAGATTGTCTTCGGACTTTAAGTCAAAGACATATGTACAATGCCCCCCCCACTGGTGAAAGTCATGTTCCAAGGTCCCAAATGGACACTAGAATCCACAAAGAATATTAAACCCTAATAGACTATGTTTTTCATATATATATATACTGATGATGTACTTAAATTTATACTTAGGAACAGTAAGATATTAGCTAGTAATAAACTATGAATCTTGATCTACAGATAAATTAATAAATGGAATACAAAGAAAAATTAACTATAGGATACTTTACTAAAATAAAGCAAAAGTAATAAAGGTTATGTGAGTGTAATCTCTCTCTTTTCCTCCTGCTCCCTTCTCACACCTTCCTTCTTGGAAGATGTGGAAGAATACAATATCTATTTGATGAGATGAGGTGGTATGAGTAATGTAGGCTCTGGGATGTAATATTAGGCTCATACATAAGGTTTACTTGAACATAAGCACTTTGGTACTTTTTCTGTTTAGTATTTTTGAACTGTAGTCATAGAAATCAAAAACAATGGATAAACAGAGGGCACTGTGTATATATTAAAAATGCATTTTGTCTTTAATTCAGAAAGCATCTACTAAGTGTTTTCTGTGTGTTCAGTACTGTAGAACACATTTATTTTAAATGTTTCCCGTATAGAAATTTCCTATAGGGCATTAATAATAGTCTATGAACATCCATTAAGTTGTACTTATACAAGCTTTCTTTTTCCTTGATATTCCACATTGCCATCAATTACTTTGAAAAAGCCTAAGAACTGTCCCTCCCTTTCTTCGTTCTTTTTGGTATTTGTTCCATTTTCTTGTCTCCTTTTCTTTTGTCAGGTCTCAACTCATATGGAGTATATACCATCAGCAATCTGCTGTGACTATTCCCGCATGCAGTGTAGACACTATCCCTGCCCCCAAGGATATAAAAATATAGCAGTAAGAATGTGTCCGAAGAATTGTAGAGTCACTTAGAGGAAGAAATGCTGGGCATCTAAAAGTATAACATGGGAGGCATATATCTAAGAAAGAGAAAGTGGCTTCTGAGAAGTTTAGATGAAGTTTAAATTTGCTGGCAGTAGAAAGGTTTTATGCAAGAGACATAAAGTAGGCAAGCCCCCCAAAAAAATACAAAGATAACAAAAAAATGCAAAGATAACTAAGGACCACAGGCTCTCAAAACTAAGCAAAATTGGCTTAAAGGGTATGCTCATTAAAATGTTAGAATTGCATCTACTCCATTTCCTTCAGTTTCTCTTAGGGATTCGTTCCCTTGCTCACAAAAGTACTGTGTTTGCCCATTTATTACAGGCATGATACAGAAAGTACTGAGATTTGAGAACAGGATGTTTTGTGACTAAACAACAAATTTGTGACCCATAAGTAGACTGAAGGCTGTTAGTGAATTTCAAAGCATGCTCACATTATCTTTCATTCCCAGAGAATTTTTCAATTCCACTTTTTCTTCCTAGTCTCTAAAGCTTTAAGCTTAATCTCTTAAACTTCCCATCCCATATTTGGGCACATACCACCTTGGTCCCGCTCCCCCATTGGAACGAAACCTTTCATTTTCCCAAACCAGTTTTCTCCTGATCTTACTGTGTTAAGTGTTGTTACTAAGTTCTATTCATTTTCTAATTTCCAATTTGACTTTTTTCCTTTGACCCATGGAGCATTCAGAACTGTGTTATTGTATTTGAAAATATTTGGCAACTTTCCAGCTACCCTTCTATTATTGATTTCTAGTTTGTTTTATCAAAATTAAGAAGGCACATACTTGTGTTAAGTCCTCTTAAATTTGCTGGTTTGGTTTTATGACATTACATGTGGTCTATCTAGCTAAATGTTCCAAATGTGCTTGCAGAGAATATGTATTCAGCTGTTGGTGAACCTAATGATTTAAACAATATCCATTAGGTCAAGGTAGTTGATGGTGTTTTTGTCAGTGACATGACTGAATTTTTTTAAGTTCTACTAACTGCTAAGGGAGACATGGAAATTTCCAACTGTAATTGCATTTTGTCTATTTCTCCTTACAGTTCTGTCAGTTTTTGCTTTATGTACATTGAAACTCTTCTATTGGATATAAACACATCTAATATAATGTCTTCTTGAATTGACCCATTTATATTATGAAATGCCTCTTCTTTATCTCTTGTAATAGTTTTCTTGAAGCCTATTTTATCTGATACTATACAACTGTTTTCTTTTTATACAACTTTAATAGTAAAAGGTCTAAAATGGAACTAAGTTTAATTAATTTTACAGTAATTAATTTTTTTGGAGACAGGATCTCTCTGTAGCCTCAGCTGGCCTGGGACTCACTATGTAGACCAGGCTTCCTCTATTTCATAAAGATCCACCTGGTTCTGCTTCCCAAGTGCTGGGATTAAACATGTGCACCACCACATCCAACTTTCACATCTTTAATATTTTATTAAGCTCTCTTTATTTCTATCCTATCCATCTATTTATCACTATCTATCAATTCATCCTATTTTTGGTGCATTTCAAAGTACATTACAGACTTACTCCTAAATAGAATAGCATGCCTATTATTAAACTTCAATATTTGTTTTGATTTTCCTTTTATATAAATTTTATATACAATGAAATTCACAAATGTTAAATGTGTGTTGGATGAATTTTGACAGATGCATATTTCTATGTAACCAAAAAATTCTATTAAGCTACAGAACATTGCTATCACCCCCCCCCAAAATTCTGTCTTGTCTCTTCACAATCAATTCCTGTTCCCACCCAGCCCTAAAGGGAAACACCATTCTGATTATTTTCCAGTGCTGGTCAGTTTTTGCCTGTTCTAGAAATTCATATATAGGAAATAAGAGCCAATGTAGCCTTTTGGATCTAGCTTCTCTCACCACAATGCTTTTGAGGTTCATATATATCATTTCATATATGAATAAACTTGCTGCTTTTCATTGTTGTGTATCAGTTCATTTATCAATCATCATGTCAGTAAATAACTGGGATATTTCCAGTGCCATTTAGTAATAAGGATGTCATAATCATTCTTACACAGTTTTTGTGGACACATGTTTTATTTTTTGAGAAGTTATCTTTCATTTTGACTTTGATAAAAACTTGTCTCTTCAAGGGTCCATCAGGATCCCCTGGATCTCCTGGAGGTGCAGGACCCATAGGATCACCAGGCTTACAAGTAAGGCTAACTGAAAAATAATATATGATTGCAGTATTCACTGGGCCATGGATTATATGGATGCTTATATAATTTAGGCCCTCTTAGAGAAGGGCAACAGCCATTTCTGGAAAGTTATGCTGAAACATGCTCTTGCTAAGAGCTATTCGTTCTCCTTGTTTATCAGTTTCTGTCTGACCATCGACTCAACTGGAAGTATAGCCCAGGAAAGACAAATACTTGACACATCTATTGCCACCTTGTGCTCCCTCACTTTGTCAGGCATTACTAATTAATCATACCAACCACCATCATCAGCCTTCTAAGGAAGCGTCTGAATTCTTCTAAGCCTTGCACCTTGGGCAGCTATATCTACCTACCTGATTTTGGATCCCAAACATATATCACTGGCACAGGAAGAATATAGCCAGTCAGCTCTGGTTCTAGGAAGGCTCTATCCCAAGATCATTTTCTCCAGTGTCTGAAATTCTGTACTTATTACCTTGAATGAGCTTCACCAAGTCACATTGAAACATTTATGACCTATTGTGAGGAATGACATATAATAATGTTGCTGCCTTGGTGTGAATGTGGCTACCAGGTCAATTTGGGAGAATTCTAAGAAGATTAAAAGAAACCATAAGAGATCTGAAGAGATGACATGCAAAGGACCTGAGTTCAGTTGCCAACTCCCATTTCAGACTGCTCATAACTGCCTGTAACTCCGGTTCCAAGAAATCCAATGCCCTCTTCTGGTCTCCATGGGCACTGCATTCACATGCACAAACACACACACATACACACACACACACACACACACACACACAATGTTAAAATATTTTTAAGATATTTTTATTGATGTGAGAATGTCATACAATATATTTTTATCATATTCAGGCCCCGTTCCCCCTCTCCATCCCCATCTTATTGTTGTCTCAAACTTCATGTCTTCTATTATTATTTGTCCTTTTTTAAGTTCTATAATATTTAATATGTGTTTCCCAAGTGCTCTTGGGTGTGGGTTTATCCCTCAGAGTCTGGTCAACCTACCAAGTGTCATGCATTAAGGAAAACTCTCCTCTCTCTCTCTCTCTCTCTCTCTCTCTCTCTCTCTCTCTCTCTCTCCCTCATCTATCAAATATTTTTATTAAAAAAGAAAAAGAGGGGGACTGGAGAGTTGGCTCAGGAGTTAAGAGCACTGGCTGCTCTTGCAAAGGATCTAGGTTTGATTCCCAGCACACACATGGCAGCTAGCAATCTTCCATAACCCCAGTTCCAGGAGATCTGATACCTTTTTCTGACCTCTGTGAGCATTGCACAACATGGGTGCACCTACCTACATGCAGGCAATACATTCATACATATAAAATTAAAAATTAAAAAATAATAAAAGAAAAGAAAGAAAAGACAGGGCTAGAGAGATGGCTCACCAGTTAAGAATACTTGCTATTCTTCCAGAGGACCGAGGTTCAATTCCCAGCAACCAGGTAGGGGCTAACAACTGTCCATAACTCCAGTCCCAGGGGATCTGACATCCTCTTCTGGCCTCTGTGGAACATTGCACACATGTGGTCCTCTTATATACACACAGGCAAAACACTTAAACACATACTATAAAAATAATAAATTAAATATTTAAAAAAGAAAAAAAGGAAGCCGTGAGAGATGGAACTGGAATCCAGTATGCCACAGCCAATCTTCACCACACAGGAAGCAGGCTTATCCCTGGCATATCCCAATATGGTCATGCTCTTTTTTTGTCTCAAATTAAGAAACAATAATTCTTTTCTTTCTTATTAATCTAGGGTCCTCCAGGCCCCCCTGGACTCCCTGGCCCTGATGTAAGTATACTTGGGGAACATTTTCATCCTGCCACTAAGTTCTCTGATTTTTTTCACAAAGATACTAGTTTAGTTGAATATACTTTCTGGTTAAAAATTAAAATTATAATTTAAGTTCCTGGAGCTTTTTAGTAAGTTATTTTCTTTTTCTTCCCTTCACCCCTGTGTCTCAGGGAAATATGGGGTTAGGTTTCCAAGGAGAAAAAGGAATGAAGGTAAGTAGATTTTGAAAAATACACTCTGTATTCTATATGCTCTAAGAAATGTCTCTAGTTATATACATATGCCTGCTTGTATAAGCAGGCTTGGTTTTCCACCTTAGGAGATGTCATTTCCCATTCCACATAGTTCCCCTGTGGGATCCCATGAGGCTACATGCACACATGCCACACATACGCTTTGGGATTTTTTTTTCTTTCAAAAGATTATCTCCCTGCGCCTACCTGTAAGTATATATTGCCTACAAATATGCACTCTTAAAATATATTCCTTTTTTTTCTTTTACCTGGGTATTTTTCTGCTGTTTTACTTTTTTGTCTGCTCCTTCATTTTCTCTGCTTTCTGCCTTCCCCATCCTCCCTCCTCTTCATTTTCCTCCTTTCCTCCTTCTCTCTCTGCCTCTCTTTCCCTTCCTCCCTTCTCCACCCCTTCATTCCCCCACACAAACACACACACCCCATCTCTTCTGTCTCTCTTCCTAACCTCTCTTTTACTATTTTCCTTTCTTTCCCTCCTTCCCTTCTTTGGACCAATTACACAGTTGTGTTCAACCATTTGACATCATGGCACAATATTACCCCCCCCAAAAAAAATCACAGAACTCTCAACGTTAAATAAGCTTACAATTTTGTGTTGGGCCACACTTATAGCTATCTTTAACTGCATGTGGCCAGGTGTGACCTACAGGCTTCAAGTTAAAGAAGCCTAGTAGAGTCTGATCACTGTTGGCAAGAGGTGGCCATTCACCTTACTCAAAGCCCTTGTGGCTCTTCTCATCACCCGTGCATACATAAACATAGCAACTGTGGCTCTGTGGTGGTTTTCCTCTGTAGTTATAGTACAAAATTCATTGGCTTAGAATTCTTCACAGTCCCTCGGCAATGAGAGTTTGATTTCCTCCTTGGCATGAGTAATGAACAATTTATATGTGGGTTATATCCAGAGTACAAACGCACCTTCTGCAAAAATCACCTGGATGGTTTATCCTTTGTTCAATGATCTATTTGATTTCGTAGGGGGATGTTGGCCTCCCTGGCCCTGCTGGACCACCTCCATCTACTGGTGAACTAGAGTTCATGGGATTTCCTAAAGGGAAGAAAGGATCCAAGGTAGCAAACATTTGTTGTAGGAAAAGAATTAACAGACCCTTTCCTATACTAGAATTGAAATCTAACAATCAGACCAACTTGATATAATACCAAGTTAGGGGTAACTGGTTTTTGTTTGGAAGGGAGGGTAAAAGCCTTTATTTTGTCCCTTATAGAAAGCATTCTTAAAAGATTGAGTTGTTTTCTGGTGTGTAGGTATGGATGTGCCTGTTTTTGACTATGTATATGAGTACTTTTGTGTCAGTTTGCATTTTAAATTTTAGTTTGCCAAATAACTTAAAACAAGCATTAAATGGTTGAGTTTTTCCTCTAACTAACCTCTCAGACTTATGTCTTCCCCAAAATTGCGAGTACAAGTCCATTGAATATAAAAATTTCTTTTTGTGTTATCACTTTGGAGAAGTTATTTGCCCTCAAAGCTTGACTATAAGGACTGGGAAATAGCTCTGTGATAGAATGCTTGCGTGGCATGCACAAGGCCCTGGGTTCCATTGCAGCACTGGGGGAAAATACATGACCTTAAATATAAGAAATATTGTCAATAAGTGGCAATAGATGCTCTAAGTCACCTTACCTAAACTAACAAGGTTTAAGGTGTAGACCTATGCCAGGCATGGTGGTGCACGCCTTTAATCCCAGCACTCAGGAGGCAGAGACTGGAGGATCTCGGTGAGTTCAAGGCCAGCCTGATCTCAATAGCGAGTTCCAGGTCAGCTGAAGCTAGGCTACAGGGAGACCCTGTCTCCAAAAGACCAAAAAAAAAAGAAGAAGAAAGATGTAGATCTATTTAGCTGAGACGTTCCATAATCTCTATTTTTCCATGAGGATATACAGTGGACATGATTGTATTTCAATGGCCATATTCTGCTAAAGTATGCAGATATCTTTCAGGAACCACCATTCCCTTCTTTCCTGGAACTCCTTTGATTTTTGTGATTCTATTTCCACAGTTCAAAGGCCCAGAAGGATACATACTGAGTCTCAATTCTTTAGTATTGTCTTTGTGGACAACCTCTGTTCCCTCCAGAGTTACAGGAGAAAATTCATTCATTTGGGAGGAGCCTACAAGTGTGTAAGAAATTATCTGGCATCCAGTCAATCTCAAACCATAGAGAGGTTTTCCATGGCACATACAGATAAATTAGTATTTTCAGAGGGAGACAAACTACAATTTTATGTCTCTACCTAAATTTCAATTCTTATCTTTTTCTCAAAACCATTGTCTTCTCTATAGTCTATATGTTGCTACAGAAAACCATGTAAATTCTTTCACAAGGAGGTAAATAGGTAACCATTCTTCTGTCTCTCAATTAGCCTGAGTGTTTGAGATTATGTATTAATTGGTCACTGGCCTGCCATAGGCCAAAGGGCTCCCTAATGCACGACATCCCATTGAGCATGGGAATCTACACCACCAGACAATGCTACAACCCTCATACCCATTGATTCCTTGCTGCACAGCCCAAGTATTTTCAATGAACCTTTGTCCTTTTGTGTTCACTGCTTTCTGCTGCCATTCATTAGCCTTTGGTTCATTTTCCAGGGTGAACCAGGGCCTCCAGGTTTCCCAGGCATGAGTGGCCCTCCAGGCTTCCTGGTAAGTCTTCCTACTTGGTCAACATGCATTGAGGGTCTGATTAGATTAAAAAGCTATAGTGCTGACGGGATAACAGGAAGACATGGTAATTACTGACAGTGTTACTATCTTCACCAAAGGCAATGAAGGAAATATACTTGTCTCTTGACCTCATGGATATTTTAGCATGTTTCTTAGATGTTATCAGCTCAAACTTGAGAGTTCGTACAGACCTAGGCTTTACTTCTGGTTTTACCAGTTTCTAACTTTTTAAAAGTTTTTTAACCTTTCTGGGTCCTGGTTTCCTAACCTACAAAAATGAGGACAGCGATAGGGTGTATTTGAAGATTAGATGTGATAATACACATGAAAACGGTTTTGTACACGGCTGCCACTTATCAAATGTTTAGTAAACGTGGCTGTTCTTAGGAATCCTACCTTTACTTTCCTATCTGCCTTTCTACATTAGATTCTGAGGCTCAATAAATGCTTTGGGAGAGCCAGAGAGATGACTCAGTGCTTAAGAGCATTGGGTGCTCTTGCAGAGGACCTGGGTTTGATTCCCAGAACCCACATGGCGGTTAACAACTACCCTTAGCTCCAGTTCCAGGAGATCCAACACCCTTTTCTGACCTCAGTGGGCAGTGCACAACACAGGTGCACTTACATACATGCAGACAAAACACTCATACACATAAAATAAAAGTAATAAAATATTTTTTAAAAATGTTTTTGGAAGGCTTCTATGTACCAGATTTTCTGCTCAATTCAGAGGCTACGATAGTAATTAGGTAGACATCTTTCCCTATCCTTGAGATTACATTCCAATGAGGTAGTGATAAAGGATGTGGAAAACAGATGAATCAATAGCAAATTTAGGGGCTTAAGATGTGTCTCAGTGGTATACTGTTTGTGTAGCATGCCCAAGACCCTGGGTTCTATCCCCAGTGCCACAAATAAAACTAAATAAGTCCACATAGTGGTGAAATATAAAAGATGGAGGGGTGCAGTATTGGAGTATTGATGGGGAGCCCAGTTTACCACTTGGGAGTGGTCAATAGTAGCCTCTCTGGGGAACTGATATGTAAGCTGAGATTTGTATAAAGGAATAAGTCTTGTAAAAATCAGAAAGAGTATATGTAGGCCGAGGGAATAATACCTACCAAAATCCTGAAGCTGAAAAACCTCAGTACTTTGGAAGCCCATCAGTGTGAGTGGGCAAAGCCAAGCATGGTGGTACATGACTAGAGTTCCATCACTTGAGAGGCTGAGGCAGGAGGATCACCATGAATTCAAGATTAGTATAAGCTACACAGCAAGATGCTACTCAAAAATCAAAACAAAAAAGTAAGTGGGAAGGACAAAATGAGAGAGGCCAACAAACAGGCAGAAACACAGGAGCCAAGTCGCAGCCCGCTTCATAGGTCAATTGTGGCTCTTAGTTGGAGTGTCACAAGAAGCTACTGTATGTGTCTTTGTGTGTGTGTGTGTGTGTGTGTGTGTGTGTGTGTGTAGGTGCACGTGTATAAGTGCACACATGTGTGTAGAGGTCCAAAGTTGACACTGAGGATTTTCTTCAATCACCCTCCACTTTATTTATTGAGGCAGAGTCTCTTATTGAACACAGAGATGCCCTAGGAATCCCTGCTTCTGCCTTCTGAGTGCTGGGATTACAGTTGGTCGTCATGCTTTCCTGTCTTTTAAGTGGGTTCTGCGGATCCAAACTCTGGTCCTCACATTTGCACGGCAAGCACTCTATCCCATTTCCCTATCCCTGACTTGTATTTTAAAGGTCACTTTGGATGGGTAAGGGAGAGATGGAGGAACTGGAGTAGTAAGCCCAGGTCATTACAGCAACCATGGTAAAGGCTGATGGTGGTAACTCAGATGACAGTGATAGCAGTAGAAATGGAAGAAAGTGGAAAGGATAAGCATGTTAGACTTTTTATTATGGAATATTTCAAACACATACAAATACAAAGTGACTGTCATTATGATATCCCTGGTACTTACCAAGTTGCTTCAATTAGCAGTGCATGGCAATGGGAAGGAAATGATATACATATCATTCCATCACAAATACCTAAGCATTTCTCAAAAATAAGGAACTTTGAAAACACAACAATGTTATCATCAATTATTACTTAATATCAAATAACGCAGAAATCTGTGGTTATAAACACATATTTTCTCAGGTGCTTTGCTTGAATAAGAATTCAAGACCAATATATTATATTTGGTTGTTTCTTAAGTCACAAAAAATGTGTTTTGATGAAGCTGTCAAGAATTTCAAGGATTGGGGAGTAGAGATTGGGAAAAGCGCATGAACCAAAGGTAACAAAGCCTCTCCTTGCTTGCTGGTATACTGGGAATAAATGACTCCAGTCCTTCCTGATAGTGCTTTGAAATACTATATATCTCACTGAGTGGTCAAGAAGAAAAGCCAGGGGAGCCAGTGGCACAGATTGTTTCCATGAGGATTCCTGTTACTCCATAGAAACAAAGGGCATAGAGAATCATTTGTTCTATGTCCTTGATTTTAATCAGTTTTGCTGCTAGTGAATAAGAAAGGAGGTGAGTTGTGTGCTGTTGGAGATAGAGCACTCACACTTTAAACTGAGCTCCAGCTCTGAGATTTTGAAATTGCAGAACCATTTTCTGTGTATATGTAATATGGCAGTGGTCATAGCTAGTCTTCTGAAGCCCAAATCACAGTGTATGCCATGATTCCTTACAGTGTTGCACTGGCCAATAACATGACCAGTAACATATGGCTGCCGAGTTGTTGACATGTGGTTGATCTGAAATTAGATTAATTGCACTGTAAGCAAAATATACACTGCATTTCAAAACATTAGTATGAAAAGAATAACTTGAAATAGCTCAGGAAAAATTTTTGCTTCAATGCGAAAATAACAATATTTATGATATAAAATACACAAATTTCAATAAATTTTTTAATTTAAAAAATAAAATCTCATTAGCTGGGCGTGGTGGCGCATGCCTGTAGTTCCAGCACTTGAGAGGCAGGGGCAGGTGGACCTCTGTGAGTTCAAGGCCAGCCTGATCTACATAGTAAGTTCCAAAAAAAAATTCACTTTTTAACGTTGCTACTAGAAAACTGAAAGGAACATAGTAGTTCACATTATATTCCTATCAGACAGCTTTTGAAAGGAAGTTTGGGACTAAGGTTTGTACCTTGGTTGTAGCGCATTCCATATAGATTCAAATCACTTTGCATCATCCCTGTGAGGAAAGAACTTGAGTCCAGGTTTGTCCCTCTTATCCTGATGAGAAAACCACCACAGTCTGCATAGATGAAGTGGCTTGTCCAGAGTCACACAGCTAGTCACACAACTAGTCACTCAGAGAGCTTAGACTGACATTCAGCGTTGTTGAATACCGGCTGGGTCAGGATTTTTTCCTCATACTATACTGCCCCCTGCAGTCCTGTTCATGATAGTCACCTAGTGGTGGTGGTTTGGCACTAAATCTGAGAATCGTATGATCCCTGGAGCTCTGAGATTCTCTGGCTCATGCTCTCCTCCTCCCCTTTTCTTCAATTCGACCTCAGAGGATTTCCTCTTCTACAGTATCAACACATTCCCTTTCCTCCTGTAAAAAAAAAAAAAAAAAAAAAAAAAAAAAAAAAAGACAGACTGACACAACCCATGGTGACAAATTACAATACAGTTCCAAGCTCAGTATTTTCAGTTTCACAGCATGGACTGAAAAACAGAAAGTCCTGTTGGGAAAACATCAAAGATAGGAAATACCTTATTTCATACAGCACAGCATATTTTCATAAAGTAGAAACCAAGAAACCATTCCTCAGCCTGCTTCTATGTATATTGAGTGGGTGACCGTGGCCAAATCATGTAACTCCTTCACTTTAAATACATCTATCTTCTTAATGGGAACACTAGTGAGTATTTTAATAGACCTGGCAGAAAAGGTATGAGGAGAAAGGTAACAGCATATTTGAGATATCATGAGCCTTTCAAAGGAAATACACTTCTCAAAGCCAAAGTCCGCTCACTTCAGATTTCAACTACCCATGCTCACTGAGCTGAGAAAGAACACAAATAACTAGGGAATCCAAAATGTTCCTTTTAAGAATTTGTTTCCTTCTCACTTAAGCCCACATCTTTGCAGGAGATAAAATGCCTAGTCTGACAGATTTATGCTTCACATTCTTTCTCTTGCACCCTCTGCAGAGAATAAATATCCCTGATTTTCTGGCTTAGTCCCAGCTTCCCTCATTTCACCCCCATTGTCCCCAGGAGCATGCTCACAATTGTAGGCCACAGGTCTCTCCCATGGATGGTTCAGAATTGAATACCCACGTACCCATTATCCAAGGGATAAGGAAACCCAGGGGAAGGTAAAAATGAACGAGAAAAGGGGAGGAAGTAAAGATGAACTTGGCAAGTCCTGAGGTGACTATTAAGTAGATCGAAGTCAACTCCTGGATAGGTGGAGTTCTCCATTGGAGTGCCCCCAGAACCAGACAGCACCAAGAGCCCAGATCCCTGGAAATTAAGGCTGAAAGGAACCAAGCAAGTGCTCTAGGGAGGCTTTCTGGGCCGTGGGTGAATAAGAAGGGTGGGAACAGGCACAGCAGGACTGCTTATGCCAGGGCCAGCTGCACCAAGTCAGGTCCCAGGACATCTTGCTAGAACAGCTTGTTCAGCACGGTCCCTGGATGTTTCTCTCGTGCTGGGAAACAAGTTGAGCTTACAGCACAGTGTCTTACCAAACCATTTTTCACATTTTTTTTTTGTTCACACTGTAGTACAAGCTAAGACCTCTGAAAAAGGCAACAGTCAAGAGGCTTTCTCAATTTTTGAAGAAGCAAAAGACCTCCTCGTATTTGTATCGCAGGACAAAATAGGTGGGGGCGTGAGACAGTTCCTGGACATTTTTTTTGTTCACTCTTTGCCACAATTTTATTGTGTGTCACTATTCCATTTAATGAACAAAAATTTACTGGCCTACTTTGTATATGCTCCAATGGGAATAGCACACATTAGAGGAAGACAGAAGAGAAAGTGAGAGAGGCCTCTGCTTACAAAACTTTCATACATAGAAATCTTAGTGGTTAAAGAATTTGGGGCCAGTATTAGCTGCCATAACTTTTATAGACAGGTTAGGGAAGGTTATTTGAGGCATCCAGTCTTAGAGGCCACTAGTTACATTCCAACATGTGGCAGCATACCTTGAATTCCAGTTTGAAATGTAGAAAAAAAAAGCTTAAGATTTCAAATAAGTTTTGTCTTCCATTTGAACTATAGTTCTTTCAAATTAGAAATTCTGCTCAGCATAAACCTGAGTTGATTGACAGATATACAGTATTTTATAGAAGCAAAGAAGAAAAAGGGGGTAAGGACCAAAGCCATAGGAATGAGACCCCCTCAAAGAAACAATGAAAATGCAGTAGGACAACCTACATTTCATTTTTTAAATCTTGACCCAGGGCTGGAGAGATGGCTCAGAGCTTAAGAGTCCTTATTGCTCTCCCAGAAGATCTGGGTTCAGTTCCCAGCACCCATGTGGTGGCTAATACCTGTCCTTAACTCCAGTTCCAGGGCATCCAACACCCTCTTCTGGACTCCACAGGCACACAAGCATGCATGTGGTGCACTTACATGCATACAGGCAAAACAGTCATACATATAAGATGAAAATAAAGTAATTTTAAATCCTGAGCCTATAAATCCATGGGGGTATTTTTCCAGATTGTAGTACCCATGGGAATTCACTGATTTTGTAAGAGGGAGAAAAAGGTATATTGAGATTAAAACACTGTCCTCATACCAGCTAAGTCAGATCATATCAATGGGACAACAAGGAGTACACCACAATAGTGAGCATCTTTTTAAAAAATAGTTTATTATTTTTATTTGATGTATATGAGTATATTTCCTGTATATGTGTGTGTGCAATGTGTGTGTACCTGTGTTGTGCAATGCTTGTGGAGATCAGAAGAAGGTGTCATAGCCCCTGGAACTGGAGTTACAGACAGTTGTTAGCTGCCATGTGGGTTCTGGGACTTGAACCCAAGTTTTCCACAAGGGTAATCAGTGCTCTTAATCACTGAGCTATCTCTCCAGTCCCAGTTAGCATCTTTTGAAAAGCTTTCATTTAAGAAAGCCTCATAGACTCCTTTACCCTCAGCTCTCTTCACTCTTCAAAATAGAGCTAAATGCTGTTTGCCAAAAACTATGCTCCAATATGTACAAACTTAATAACTAACAGCATCAGGTAAGCTTTCCATGAAAGACTGTATTCACTTTGATAATGAATGTTTCTATATCTTGGAGCCTGGATATTTGCCCAGGACCCAAAGTCAAAAAGGTTCTCTTTCAATCTGCTTCCTGGATCTCTTGCTTGTCTCTAGGGAGTCCTCAAGTCAAATCCATGCCTACAAGTCCTCATTTCTTGTAAGCAGGACAAATGGAATTGAGCAATGTTTTAACAACCTTCAATGGTGTACTCTTAAGATGTTACAAGAGTCCTATATTCCCAGTAGCAGGCTCTAGGTAGTAATATTCCTTCCCAAGGAAAATATGTTCTTGTCTTCATATGTCTAAAAGGGAAAATGTATTCCTGCTATGAAAATTCCCAACGATGAGCACAGTCCTCCATTTGTCTGTCAGAGTCAAGTTCCTAAATGCTGGAATGCAGCTGGCTCTCACAGAAAAGACTCTGAAACAAAAGTAGAAGTCTTGGCTTTCTCATTGATTCTTCACCTTCCTGGAAGTTACTTTCCTGATCTGTAAAATCTGTGTGGAAGGTTGGGTGCTTTATTTTTCCTGTGCTGTAAGATCATGATGCTCTAAATACATATAATAGGGTTTTAAGGGAAAATACATTACTTTTAGAGTCACAAAGCACGTCTCATGTCCTATGTGTTTTTCAGGTATTGGCAAGAAGCTCAGCATAAGGAGCTTCCCCTAGTGAGTCGTTGGTGCTGGTTTGACATTACCTCCTTGCTTTGAATGGAACCAGGAAACCAATGACAAAATGAGTGTCATAATTTATGACTTCTTTTTTTCCTTCAGGAATTTGGATCTATTGGAGAAAAAGGAGAAAAGGGAATCCTTGGTTTGCCGGGACCTAGGGTATGAACCTGGAGTGTCATTTCCCTGGGTTTATCAAGTCGCCTGGTCTATTTTCTTTCTTTTTTAAAGAGATATAATTCTCTTCGTATCTTCATTTCCTTTCTTGTTTTGGTCCCTTATGCTGTGAAATTTGATGACCACCTAAGCTTCTTTTATTTCTCTTCCTCAGCTTTCTGCAGGTTCGCTACTCTACTTATCCCAATTCCCTTGACTGAGTGGGTCCCTTTTCTAACAAATGGCATAGCCCTTACTCTAGGTGACTCTGCAGACTATTTACACTCCTGACTTTTACATACAATTCTCTTTTGAGCACATGCTGTCTTATGTTTGTTCTATTGTGCTCCAAAGGAATGTAGGCAAGGGGTGGCACAGGAGTGGAAGAAAGCCAAGAGTAATCTTTATGGGATATAAATAAGTCTGGAAAGATCTAGAACATAGTGAATGGTGTTTGCAGTTAGCAATTTTCATTAAAAATCTTACCTCGAATGGAAAAATAATTATTGTGTTTCCCAGCTTTCATGCACTGAGATCTTTAGCTCTAAGCAGTTCATCAACTTTTGCTTTAAATAACTACATTTCAGAGAACGCTTTCTTAGCTTATCCATGAAGATGTTCAGTCTTTTGAGTATATAGCATACTTATCCATTACTCTGCCATTTATTTCTACTTTTCCTTCTCCTTTGTCTTGAAAACACATAACCACCAACAAAGAATGTATTCAGAGTGGAAGACAAGAGGCTCTCCCATAATCTATTTAAAAACTTTCTGACTTGAAACTAATGCAGACTAAGTTAATAACATCCAGCCCCTCTACCAAATTCCACCTACTTCTTAAACTGTTTCCATTTATTTAGTTCTTTAAAAATGTTCCATGTGGCTATTCAGTCTCATGGATTAGTGCTTAGAAAGAAGTCACTAAGCCAGGTCTAGGAACATTCTCTTCCCTGACATCAGGAGCTACTAAATTCTGAGCTCAGTTGTGATGTAAGTCCAGCAACTATTTTCTAGTGTGGGCTATTGTTCTTTCTAAAGTGTGGCTATTCTCTTTACAGGGTCCCATGGGTTCAGAAGGAGAAGAAGGCTATCCAGGGGAACAGGTATAAAGCCTTGATGTATAAAAACCTAGTCAAAAGTTCCTCTTACTTAACCTGGGCAAATGGAGATCTTGCTTATAATCTAAACTATACACCTGTCATTAATAACCTAATCTTATAATCTGAGCCACTTTCTTTTATTTTTACCCAAGAAGATGGATATTACATCATGACTGGTTCTTCACCATGCCAAGGTGTGGTAATACACTGTGGCAAGTCTTCAAGGACAAGCAAGGCCAACCTGTTTGTTTCCATACCCTGTGACTTTCGTGTACTTTGATATGCAAGTTGTCTAGTGCCATGTTGCCATCCAGGAGAATTTACAAAGCCATACATATCCTGAAAGACAACAAGATCCCTGTGCTATTTGCCCAGGCCTAATCCACAGACCAACCCCTCTTATGTACTTATATTTTGAACTTAGTGATAACTATGTTTCTATCACAGGGAAAAAAGGGATCATCTGGTTTACCTGGATTTACTGGGTTCCCAGGAATTAAGGTAATATTGTTGGAAGCACAAATCCAGGTTTTGGGAAGTGATAAGGTGAAGGATGACTATAAATGCCTACATATGAGATGGAGTATTTTTAATTTTTGGATCTTTTAGATGTTACACTTTCCTTAAGAAATGCATGCACCCTGTGTCGTACACAAAGCTGATGTACATTTCTCAGATGTTGCCATTAATTATTTTAAACTCTCTACAGACAATATACCCTCTTCTTGCCTATGTCTAGGATAGACAATGCCTACCACCCACTCTGATTTTCCACTAAATCAGATTGTGGTAACTGAGTCCTTTTTTAGGAGAATTAGGACTATTTTGGCTTTCTTTAACATCATCCAAACAAGGGTAGTAACCGAATCCTAGGCCTGCTGAAAACAGCAAAAAGAAGTTGCCTTCTAAGTGCCTCTTCAGTATAGCTGTGTTGGCTATGCCTGTGATGTATTTCCCAGATCCAGAAGCAGAATGACCTAGAGTGATATTGCAAAACAAAATTGGGGGCCTTGAGAAATGGCTCAGCACTTAAGAGCACTGACTGTTCTTACAGAGGACCTGGGTTCAATTCCCAGCACCCACATGAAGGCTAACAATCAATCCATAACTCCAGTTCCAGGGGATCTGACCCTTTCTTCTGATGTCTGAGGGCATTACATAACAAGGATGCACTTACATACATGCAGGCAATACACTTATACACATAAAATAATTTTTTTAAAAAAGTTGGGATCCCTAATCCTTGACAAGTTTGCAATTGAATGTAAGCTTCTGTCTGCCTGTGTCACTTTTATCTTCAATTTATTATACTTGGAAATTAACCTCTGAACTTGCTGGCCCTGGAAATAAGGTGTCAAAGAGGAAGGGACTTTTCAGTTTCCTGAGATTTTGCTTTGAAGGCACATAGCTCTTAGTTGATGTAGTCACAGACATTTTTGTGCTCAATGTTTTTAATCTTTACAGGGTGAAAAGGGTGGCATTGGTCTGCCAGGCCCAGACATTTTCACTGATGTGCATGGTGCTGCGATCTCAGGTGCAACTCTGTTAATTTGACTGGAGAAGAAAAGACAAGGAGTTAAATTCTCTATCTCCTGTCATTGTTAAAGAATTCCTTTTCATCCACTGGATTACTAACAAGGGTCACTCCTGGGTCCTGAGCTTGGTGAAGGAAGCTAATTTTAACATCGTAAAAAAACCCAGCCTTCAATATTTTGTGTCAGTCTCTCAAGACAAGACTTTGGGTCTTCCTAAGCATGAATTTGGTTAACAAAAACGTTCTCCTGGTAATGCTTAGGAATGAATTCACACCTTCTCTAACTTGGTTGACTTTAGCTTAAGACTATAGGATACTCAGGGTCTCCAGTTGATGATCCCAAGCATGCTGAGCTTGCTAATTTCAGAGGAAGTGGAAAAGTATCTGTGCCTAGAGAAGCTAGTTGTTAAGAGCTCTCAGCAATATGATACTTAGAAAGTTTGCCCTCATCTGCCCTTATCCAAGTTACTGGTTATGCACTACTCTTCCTCCATTTGTTCCATAGATCTAAATGCCCAGTGTCGACAGTGGCTTCCTGAGTTTTACTCCCAGGGACTCTATGGCTGTAACAGAAATAGTGAACTTACCTTAAACCCAAGGGTAAATATTTGAGTCAGTAACAGCAGCAGCAGCAGATCAGACGCAGTAGAAGAAACTTCTTAGCACTTACCAGGTCTTATCATGAAAGGAAAGCCAAACCAAGTTCTAAACATTAGTAGTAACTAGATTTGGTGTACATGCTTGTGATCCCAGAACTTGGGAGACTGAAACAGTAATTCAAAGCCAGCCTGAGCTATGTATTAAGATCTGGTCACAAAATAAAACAAAACAATGTACTAGTGGTGCCTTAGTTCTGGTATACCCATTATCGCATAAAACCATTAGCATAAGGGAGACCTGGGAAAAGTAAAGAGAGAGAGAGAGAGAGAGAGAGAGAGAGAGAGAGAGAGAGAGAGGTAGATTAATTCAAGTTTTGCCACAACTTCTAGCTTCTAGCTCCAGAATAGCTCCCTGTATCTCTTCTTGGGAATTTTGTGCCATATTTGATCTTCCATTGTGCTTGTTTACTGCTGTTCTTTTTTTCATTGTAATGCCAGGTTCTCCTGGAGACCCCGGTATACCAGGCCTCCCAGGCATTAGAGGAGATGAAGGCATCCAAGGCCAACGTGGCCCTTCTGGCACCCCTGGCCTCCCAGCCCTAACAGGTGAAGCAAACTAATCCATTCTCTGGACAGATCAGTCATCTTTGTACTCTGGTTCCTAACATCTCCTTCTATACCTCAGGATCTAGGCACATGCCTAGCCAAGATCAAAACAAAGGTAGACTGTAGTCAGTAGGTCCCCTTAACTGCCAGCTCAAGGCTAGCATATTTAGAGAGAAGGCTGAGGTGAGACGCTTTCCTTTGAATGAATATCACAGATGGTAAAACAGTTCTACAATTGCCATTGAGGTTGGCAGCAACCAGGGTCATGTGTTGGGCAGGTAGAGCCCTATCACTCTTTGTGAACATGTCATCATGTCTGATGTTTTCCAAAAGGGTTTTAATGGGTCCAGAAGAGAATTTGTACCCAGACCCTCCTCTAGGCTTAATTCAAGCATAAAATGGTCCCAGGATCCTATAGGTGATGATACCCTTGGACCAAACACCAAAGGAGCATGCCCATGTATCATTCTATAGGGCAAGCGAAAAAGAGCATGCCGGAGTCTGGGAGGCAGGGTTGTTCTAAATGTAAAAACCTCAGACATATCTACTAAAGTCACCAGTCTCTAAATTCCTTGGAGAGGGGTTTGTAAGGATATTTGTGTTTTGAAAGCAGCCATTTGGAGGAGGTGCAGCTGGGCCCAGCACCAAAGGGAAACAAATGGAACAGTCAGAGACTGAAAACCTACCATTTCCTCACAACTTCACCACCAAGAAATTGTTCTCCTGACCATGTTTCTTCTCTTCTTTGGGACTCAGTTTCCCAGGAAGTTAGGCTAATTGATCCCTAAGGTCTTTTCTAACTCTGATGCAAGAGAAGGGCAAATACTTCTCCAAATTCTTTCCTAGAGTTGTTTCCCATGCACACGGCAGATTAGAATACCCCGAAGAACATGGTGCTATGAGAAGCATTTTGTGTGCACATCTCCTTCCAGGTCTTCAAGGCACCCTAGGGCTTCGGGGACCTCCAGGCCTCAAGGGAGACCAAGGCAACCCAGGCCGCAGCACCACTGGGGAGACTGGCCTGCCTGGCAGAGTTGGTTTACCAGGTTTACCAGGCTTGCCAGGCCCATCAGGTCCACTTGGTAAGTTACTGCCTTTCTTTCTTTCTTTGGTCTTGAGATCCAAGTGTGCTCCAGAATAGTTATGATTTTGAGGGGGTATCTCACAGGTAAAACAGCTCATCCAGGACAGATGAGCAGAGTATAGCAACAATGAAGTTTCTGTCCCCTCTGAGTCAGCTCTGCCTCTATTGATATCAGCTACTGTGGAATGTGTTTTATCAAGGAATAAGCAAGCTAGCACCATCGTGATGATCAAACACCAATTTGTATATCTTTCACCCTTCCATCCTTTACAGCCCTCTTTGGTTTTTCAGCTTTTAAAGAATCATTGACTCTTTTTTAGCTTCCCCTGCTCCACAAGGCTCCAATCAAGTGGACTGAGAGCCTGAGGAGGGGGATTCATGTCTGGATCTTCAGAGTGGTAGCTAAAAGCCTGCAAGGAGGGGTGGCTAGAAGTATAGCCTAGTTATAGAGTTTACTTGGCATGTTGCAAGATGCTAGGTTCTATCCCCAGCACAAAACAAATATATGAGATAGATAGATGATAGATAGATAGATAGATAGAAAGATAGACAGATAGATGATAGATAGATAGATAGATGATAGATAGATAGATAGATAGATAGATAGATAGATAGATAGATGGTAGA